TGTGATACAGCTAGATAATACGATGACAACGCCAGTTGTCTTTAAGGGTGGGAAAACAAAATTAGTTCCGATTAAAAGGGGCAAAAAGAGGGTCTGGTGAGAATCAACGAAGCACCTTTAAGGGCACCTTTATTAGCCCTTTACCCTCTGTAAAGAATGCTTAAGCCTTTATTGAGATGTAGACATCTACTCTTTCCCGAGGTTGTAATCATCCTGTCCACATGCTAAAAGTCCCCATGAGAGTGGCAATTCTGGGTGAAAAGAGGTGGAATACTTGCCAGCCCCTGATTACTATCATTCTCTTTAGACTGTAATCACAAGTAAGGTTGGTAACCGACCACGCAACTCATTAATTGCTCTTATTGTTGCCAAGATGGCAATCCCTCCCCCTATTCTCCTTGATTAAATGGCTTAAAGACCATTCTTTAATGGCATTAACAACCTGGTAAGCGTACCTTGACCCTTCCCTGTCACGCCCACGTTTTGTTTAGTTTTATTCTCGTTGTGGCCTCGTGCTCTGGTGTAGTTAACCTGAAACGGTCCGATCAAAGAGAGAGCTCTGTTTCCACAGTGTATGCTAATGCTTCTTTGTCTCAATATAGCATCAGGCTATCTAAGTGTGTACGTGATTGCCTGATTTTTTCAGCCACAGATGCCTCTTTGCGCTGGGGGGAGTAGCCTGGACTGCCAATCAGTCTGACAGGGATGCGAGTTGTTGTGATGACCTAACACCCAAATGTCCACCCCCTTTCTGTCACCGCTGTGAGCGACAGAATAAATCTGAAAACAGCAGTCCTCTAACCATCTGGCCTGATCCGTCTCAGCATATGAGCTTTGTTTGATGAAGGGAGAGGGTAGAATGGAATGCATCTGAATGCGTAGCATTTCTTTTTCCTCTACGGTATCAGAAATACTAAAGAAACAATGATGTTGTAGAGTTTTAAAGTGAAATTAAACAATAATTATTTGTGAATTTATGTGATTAGACATGAGCAGAATGGCTTTGAACCACAGTGTTCACCTCATTCAGACAACAGCTTCTCATCTGGCAAGTGTAAAAACTAAAGAAAAATCTATCTAAGAAAGACTTTACTAAAAGTACAAACTTTGGTTTTTGTCATATAGTAAAATGAAAACATAGTAAAGTCCCTCTTTTGATCCAAAATGAGTATTCCTGTTCCAACATTAAACATAAATGTGGTTTTGTGGCAAAGACTGAAGCAAATAAGTGAATCAAATCATGTAAAAAAAAAACAAAAAAAAACAGTACCAAGGGAATTGGATAATATTTTGCTTTTTTCTTTTTATTATGTAATTTAGGTTGAACCAGAAGTGAGTTCTTAGGCCATCCAATCCAAGGAGAGATGTCCAAATATCAGTTCTGCCACTCTCTTCTCAGGCTGACCCCCAGACTCTGGAACTCTCTCCCCTGAGCCTGAGGTCAGCAGACTCAGTGCTCTCCTTTAAAAGCAGCTGAAAACTCACTTTCACGCTGGCTTTCGCGTGACCTTCATCACCACCCTCTCCTTATTCTGCTCTTATTCCACATTTCCTGGGATCCACTGATTTCCCCCTTTCCTATTCATTTTCTCTCTCCCTTTCCTTAATTTTTTTAATACCACATTTTATTTTTTCTCATGTTGAACATATTTTTAAAATTTTTAATCTTTTTTATACTTTAGTTTTTGCTTTTGTGAAGCGCCTCGTGATTTTTATCTGAGAGGCGCTATGTAAAAGATCGCTTTCTTTCAGGGTTCCTGAAAGCAGCATACATAATAAAACTATAACCGTCTTCCCAACCTTGCTGAACAATTCGTAAAACAAACTGCTTCACCATGACTGTGGCCAAACAACTGACCCCGATTGATCCGACCAGAGTACATTATTCATAAAAGATTTATCTTTGTGTTCACTATCCAACTCTAGTTTGCCCCATTGTGCTTTGTGGACTGCGAAAGGTTTATTTTTTTTTTAAGGTCTAAATTCCAAAGTGAACCTTTGTACAGTTTCTAATAAGGTCTGGCTTTCTGAAAAGCCAGGTGTCATTCAGAGAAAAGTCTCAATCCTTGAAATGAAACTTTGAATATTTTTAATGAGCCATCTTGAGCTCAGACCGAACATTATGGGATGTTGATTACTGCAAATAAGTTTTGGCCCGTGAGCATTAATACTAAATATAAGAGGAATTTGATTCATGACCCACGTTTGAGGCGACTTTGTGTTTTCACTTCCTGATTTTCAGTTTTCTTTTCAGTCAGTCTTGACAGAGGGATTTATTCATAAGTTGGTTCATTTAGAAGAGTCAAAATGCTCGTGAAGGTTCTCAATCATACAGGTCATGGTAATCCAAATCAAGGAAACTGGACTTCTTTGTAGGGGTGCACCGAGCTATCGGCCCCGATGATCGGCTAAAAACTGCAATCAGTGCACCCCTAGCTAATGTTAAAGCAAATCATTGCTATAGATTTTTTTTTGGGGGGGGGACAAGTGTGTCAAAACGGGTACAAAAGTTTTGTTTTCAAAATTGGAAATGTAAAGGAACAAATATGATTTTGTAGTTCAAACAGCAATGCTAAATATGTTCATCTATATTTGAGAACATGACCTCATGACCATTTGAAACTAGTATTGTTACATGAATATTCATATTGGTTTGATCAATAAAGGGAAATTGAAACACTGACGTAATCTGCTTTTAGTTCAGGCAAAATCGGTATCGGCAAGTCAGGTTTTCCTCAAGATCAGTGATCAGCCAAAAACTGCAATCGGTGCACCCCTACTTATTTGGTTTCATGAAGACGTTTCACTTCTCATCCAAGGAGCTTTGTCAATTCTGACGGGAATATGGGAGAGTCGAGCTTATAAACTTTAGCTGTCTATTGTTGCTTAATGAGCAGAAACTAAACATGAATACCCCTCCCCCTACCTCCTGATCAATTGTTTGAGTCGTTACCCCTATTGTGTGGGATTTGTTGGATTGATTAGGTGCAAGAGGGTGTGACCTAGACTGAATCTGTTTGGGAATTAGGTTCAGCGATGCATTATAGGTGCTGGAAAGGTGAAACCTGAGGGCTACTACTCTACTCCTGCAAGTTTTTCCCACTTGACTTAAGCCTCTTTTATAAAATAATGCCGCCAATTTGGTGCATTCGTGTCCTTTTTACAAAAGATGATGCAATGGCGGTAAGGGGGTGCAGGGGCGGTCTCTGCGCTGCTGCAGACTTCCGTTCATCTTGGACAGAACTTTATTTTTTTGCGATCGAAGCCACACTCATTAAGTTTCTTTAAAGCTGCTCCTAAAGGTGTCTGTCCTCCACAGTCTCCGTGCAGTCTCTGGTGATCTGACCTGCTCTAATGGAGAGAAACTCCTGGAGCGTGGCATCACTCCTGCTCATCATCTCAGCTGATTCTGAGCAAAAAGTAAAACTTACGCCTCATGTTTACGTTCATTTTCGAGATGAGCTGGCCGGAGCTATGGCAGTAACTCCCCATGTGTGCATGACACCTCCCTCTGTTGCACCAAGGCGTAATATGCATTCACAACTCCAGCGTTGCAAGAATAGTACTACCAAGCATGGTGCACCAAAGCTGCACAATTCTCGTAGTGCCATGCCCCATTCATATGACTCATCGTGGTGGCAGCATTACGCTGATTTGCCAGCATTGTGTGTCTTCTAAAAAGGGCTATCGATAGCTTCTTTTACTCCTCTCTCAAACAATGGGATATGCATAAACACTATCTAGTTAAGTTTAGGAACCAAATTTATCACATTAGCTTTAAAAATGTGGGCTGAAGTCATTTGTTGATGCAAAAAAAGCAAGGACTTTATTAAAAACCAGTTTTTATACAAATACAGGCATCCATTCATTTGTTCCATGCCTTATCAGGGATTTTAAATAAAATATATAATACTTTAAAAGTACAAACTGTCATTATGTTCCAACTGATTGATTACATCACCTCTATCTGTAGACACTGTTAGTCACTCAATCACTTATGTAGAAAAACATGTTTTTTAATGAATGATTCCACATTAATTATCAATAATCAGCATAAATAGCTTTTTTCTAATTTGCCTGTTTATTAAAATCTAAACAAACAGACCACGCTGAGCTAATAAACAAGCTTTTCAGAATAACAGTTTGCTTCTTTCTGTGATGAAAACCACTTCCACATATTCCAAAGACCCTTTACATGTGACCTCATTCCACAGTGCAGCCTCATGACTACCCACACAGGGTGTGTGTGTGTGTGTGACTACAGAATTTCACACACTCTAACATCAGATGTGTTTTGGATTATAAAGACAATCAGAAAGAAGACATCCTGTATTTTTTCCATGTGGCTCGGGAAAAAAAGGTCTGCTGTTGGTGATTTGAAAGTTTGTCAGTCTCCTCATCTTTACTCACTTCCTCATTCAGCTGTCCTCTCAAGCATGGCAAACTCAGACAGCTCTGAGCAGACTTTTTTTTTTTTTTTTTTTTGTCTGAGTCTGACAGATAGTGTGAGTTTGAGCTGAACTGTCTGTCTCCAAGAGGAAAACTTGTATTTACCCTGCTCTGATTCCTTTCAGCTTACTAAAGCTGCTGGAATGCACAGGTTGGCATCATGGTTGGCATGCGCTCACTTTAGCAGCTCCAAGGGAAAAGGGGTTATTTGAGTTTACTCACTTGTTTTGAGAGGTGGAAAAAAGTTAGATGAACAGGACATAGTTTGGCGGAAAGAGAAGATGCTGCAAACTACAAAAACTTTTATTGGGAAACAAAGTAGTGAGGCGGAGTTTCGTTGATAATAACAACGTGACCTACATTCCACTGACAATTATGAGCTGATGTGATCAAAAAGTGGGAAAAAACAACCAGTGCTATTTTCCCTATCTGAAAAAAGGATATAAAACTTATTTTTTATCAGGTGGTCATAAGTTATGACAAAGTCGGTGTGAAAAATAACATTTTAACTTCTGTTTTTTAACACTTAAATAAAAAAGAAGCCTTTTTACCTGCGATGTCCCACAGCTGTAGCCTGACCAGGGTTTTGCTGTCCCAGTTGATCACTTTAAGGGCGAAGTCGACCCCGATCGTGGCCCGGTAATGCTGCGAGAAAAGCTGGTGCACGTACCGTTTGATGATGCTCGTTTTGCCCACACCTAACTCACCGATCACCAGCACTTTGAACAAGTACTCCTTACACTCGGACACCGAGCCTCCGGCCATGCTGAGAGACTAGACGCTTTCCTGAGAACGTAATGAAACAACTTTTGCTTTCTGTGTCATAAAGCTGCGCTGAGAGGAGGACTGGGCTGAGGCGTCCGCCAGAGAGAGCCAAGTCGCCCTCTTGGTAACACTTTCTAGTTCTGATCCTTCTTCGCCTTCTTTTTCTTCTCTGGCTGCCACACAACAACCACCTGATAAGTCACGGGACCCGGAAATGTCAGACAAGCTTCTTGTCCTGTTTTTCTCCTCCTGCGGCGAAAGCAGTTTCCGACCATGTGGAGGCAGTGGCGCCCCGAAGAGGGGACCCCTGGAGAATAGTTGGCCACCACACAGCCCCCCAAGGAGGACCCTTCTCCACACCATCCTTCGTAAATCACATTCATACTCTCACATACAATACATCCATGCTTTTTAAGACCCATGTTTTTAAAGACATAAATGTTAAAGCCAAGATATAGATTTATATTAACATTTTGATATTTTAATAGCTCACACAAAGAAAAAGAAAAATATATATATATATGGTTAACACACACACACACACACACACATATATATATATATATATATATATATGTGTGTGTGTGTGTGTGTGTGTGTGTGTGTGTGTGTGTGTGTGTGTGTGTGTGTGTGTGTGTGTATGTATATATATATATACATATATATATATACATACATATATATATGTATGTATATATATATATATATATATATATGTGTGTGTGTGTGTGTGTGTGTGTGTGTGTGTGTGTGTGTGTATATGTATACATATATGTATACATACATATATATGTATGTATGTATATATATATATGTATATATATACATATATATATATGCATACATACACACACACACACACACACATATATATATATATATATATATATATATATATATATATATATATATATATATATATATATATATATATATATATATATATATATATATATCCCAACCCGTTTGTCCATGCAGGGTCGCGGGGCTGCAGTAGCGGCCTTCGGGCATACAGGTGGGGTACATCCTGGAAAGATTGCCAGTCCATCGCAGGGCAACACATATAAACACACAGGAAAAACAATCATGCACACGTACACCTTAGGACAATTTAGACAGACTGAATATCCTAACCTCTGGAGTACCCGCAGAGAACCCATGCGTGCTTAGGGAGAACATGCAAACTCCATGCAGAAAGGCCCCAGGCCAGGATGCAAAACCAGGATCTTCTTGCAGCAAGGCAACAATGCTAACCACTGTGCCACTGTGCAGCCCTATACACACATTCATACACACATATATGTATATTTCATATTGTAGTTTGTGCAGTGTTTGTTTACTCAAATAGGTCCTATATTATGATTTAATTAAAACATTCATGCAGCATCTAGACTAGTTTGCTTCACTCGTGGGGCCTGGCCGAGCCCTGCTCAAACCAGTTACATGGGCTTGTCCACCTGTGGACCCACCACTTGCACGGCAAGCAGCAAAATGGGAGGTCTGATGCCCAGACACAAAAACTGGCAACTGGGACTATAAAAAGTGGCCCAAACAAATGGACCTTCAAAAAAAATCACCCTTTCTTGTCTTCGAAACCAGCTCAAGTTAAAATAGGCAGTAATCAGTCTTCTTAATATAAATAATTTTTAATTTACAGCATTGTTCATGTCCAGCTCACCCAAAACAATAAAGGCTCATTTCAGATTGAACAGTGTTTTGAACAGGTGGCATCTTGTATATTAAACATTAGCTAAAATCATTAAACAAATGACACTATAATTAACTAAAAACCATTTGGAAATACAATACAGTTGCACTACAGTATGTACTGTGTAGTCTCAAACTCAAAAATCATTTTTCATTTCATAGATATTTAAAAATCACTTTAAAATTAACAGAACTACTTAAGTTTATAGCAATGTTTAAGCTCAACTGAAACGTATAGTAATCTCATTACAAGAAGCAGCCGATCAGTGGTTATTATTACAACCTAATTCTTTTTCAAGAGGATACAGTCAACTGAAGTTAGCTTCAAAATTACAAAAAAGGAGAATTTACACACATTGCTTCTTCACAGTTTCAAAATGTATAAACTTTTTTTCTCTGTTGACATTCTAAATATAGAAACATTTATCCGTATAACAAACATACCACTTGTGTGAAAAACAAGAGATGGCTTAATAGTATTACAAACTCCGAGAACTTGAACAACTTGTACTGTGTTTGTGTTACGATGACACAGCAAATCCAAGAAATGTGAAAAATATTGACGCGGCATGAAAAAAAAAGCTAAAGCATTTCATGTTTCACACCCCATGCCTGCAAAACTTGTTCTCAGGGAAGTCATAAAGTGTAAACAGAAGAAACAACATTGCTGTTTAACTACAATCACATTAGTAAATAAAAAAATACTATCAAATAAAAGCAGGGGTGTAGGTTGGTAAAAACTTTGATTGGCACCCGTAATCACATGTTGTACAGCTCTAGTTTCAGCCTAATCTCTGTTTACGGGAATTTCTCTCTGTCTGTGCACAATGTAGAGCAACTAACTATAAATATATTCAATACAATGCAGTTTTCTTAATGATTTCAAGTTTTTGCAAAGAAAATCTATGAGAGAAAGCAGCTGATTCAAAATTTGAGCAAAATACAAATTTTGATGTCCTGGTGCTTCTTATTCTGTATTCAGTTGCAGTGCACTACCTAGTCCAACGCTACATTATTATTTTTGTGATCCCAGTGTTGTGTCATTCATCAGAATTTGGCACTAGAGCTGGCTAGTTTTGGCACAATTCTCAATTTTACATTTTTACAGAAAGTGCGCTGACAGCCCTTCAAAATAAAGTGCCCTTACATTAAATATTTCCTGATTTCCTTTTTTTGCCTACAGAACTTTAAGCCACTTAATAATAAAATTAACAAATACAAGCATTTAAACCTCCTACTGAACAATTTGAAATGTAAGTCATGTGTGATGCTGATGGCCGCTGCGTCTGGACCAGTTTTTGCTCTCACAGTGTCGACGAGCTGTGTGCAAAGTTTTGGAGGATATTTGAGGCGTAGAGCGAGCTGCCAAGCATCGAGCTGATGATGGGCGAGCCGTCGACAGACTCCCCTGAACACACAGAGTCTCTGAAGGGGGAGGGTGGAGACAGAGCTAATGAGTCCTCCAGAGTTGTCTTATTTCGAATTAAATCCTCCACTACTCCATCCTCCCCTTCCCTCTCCTCCTTGGCATCGTAGATGTAGCTGTGTAAAAGGTCCAGTTCTTCATCCTCAGGCTCCTCCTCTTCAAAAACCCCCGCTTGTGGCGCCGAAGGAAGCAGAGAGGCTCTTAGGCTCAGTGGCTTGTTGGCAGGGACTGGTTGCCTGGCAGTGCGGTCATTCATTGCAGGGACATGGGAGCTGTGCGTGTCCACAGCAGCCGCCTGCATGGACTCTGGGGTGGGGCCTTTTATGTTAGAATAAGAAGCCGGCTCGTCTAAATCTGAGTCAAGTCCTTCAGTCTGTTCCGAGTCAGTCCAGAGGGGGCGCTGTGCGTCTGCCTCGTCGTCTTCCTCTGCCAAGTTGCACAGAGACTTATTTCCCGGAAGCTCTTGGGGTATGCGGGGGTCTGTGCCAAGGTCGTCGGTGGAGGGATCAGAACTGTGGGGGTCGGGGGTGTTAGTTAGGGGCCTGATGACCGCTGTCTGATTCAAGCCGGCTTCCTGTTTCCTCACATGCACAGACAGTCTGTGCCACACATTCCCCCCCTTCGGAGGGTGTCTTGCACCTGATTCAGACCATGACACAGACTTGCCATTAGAACTATGAACGAGATAAAGACTCAAGTTACTTTCACTGGAAACCAGGAAGTGGAGGCAGAAAGAAAAACAACATCACACAACGGCAGCAGCATACCACAACAAAGCAGCAGCATTTCAACATTCCTGATGCATGTTAAAATACTTTTTACCCACACGACTCGACATTAACGGCTCTGCTAAAGGACTTGCGTGTGAGCCCGACACAGGCATTACAATTCTCACAAACAGTGATTCATAATGTGCTGCAGACGGCATTATGATTCACCAAGAGCTTCAGAGGCTGGATTTAAATACCTAAGAGCCATCCAGCTCATTTCGCTTTCCTCCTGTTTATATACAATAAAATTAGGATGCATGCACTTGCAAACTATTCCTGTTGGGCCCTTGAAAACAACACGTAGTTTAGTGCAGAATGAGCTTGGACTGGCTCTATTTTGATTAGTTAGGGAAGTGATGAAGGGAGGGTCATGCTGAGAAAAAAGTTAAGTGCAAGGTTAATTCAGAATCAGCTAAAAGCAGCAGGGTGGCAGGTCTCCCACGTGGAGAGCTGCAATGTCAAAAACACAGAAGTGTTGGGAGTAACATAAGTTACTCAGACTCAGCCGGTTTCTTTGTTACCGAGTGTGAACAAGCTAACTCGAGCAGATCGTTGACGGTGCAGCTCTCCAGGAAAGGAGGTGAACAAACCTCCATGCCACATTTGCCAGCCTCGACTTCTTCATGTAGAGTATTAAAGGGTATGGTTGGCTGCATAGCAAAGGGTCGAGAGACAACACTTAAACATTTTGGGATCACTCTCTTTTTTTGCCCCCACTCCTTACTTTAGTCACCTGTCCACGTGTCACTGCTGTGGATCTCAGAAAAGTAAATGCAATTCTCACATGTTGTTTAGACCTGCATCATATGTTCTTAAAAAATCTAAATCAGTGATGCCAAATGTCCCACCTTTCATTTTTTATAATGTGTATTTCATCTAAAGTATTTTAGATCTCACATGGAGGGGAATACTAACCTGGAATTCTGTAGAACTGACTTCTTAAACTTTAAAAAAAAAATCCACCAAAATTTTACAAACAGTCATCATGGACATATATGTCATATACAATGGAGATAATCTTTTATGTTTTATTTGAGCATTTTTGAAAGTTGAATAATCCAATTTCAAGTAAATAATTAGTAGAAACAGAAAAAAATATGCATTTTTATTTTTGCTTGGATTTCTGAAATTAGTTCCTAACACCTAATTTGATGACTAATGTAGAGGTAACAAGAATTCAAAAATACCTTTTAGTTTCCTGGATTATTTGCTCCTAACCAAATGCCGACCTAGGAATACAGCGTTGGTCGGACAAGCACAGAAACATAAACAATCTGAAGAGTCTTGTCCTAGTGGCAAGGGCGTCAGTTTGTTTTCAGAATTGCTGGGGACAATAACCATACACTTGAGTGGGGTTTAAAAATTGCTGGGGACAATAAAGTAGGCTAGCACAGGGGTCGGCGGCTCTGTAGCCGCATGCGGCTCTTCCATCCATCTGATGCGGCTCTCTGTGCTTATAAAATAATGAATGAATATTTAAATAAAAAGCTTTATATTTTACTGCATTAATTTTACATCTGTATGCTAATTCCAAATGTAAAGATTGTCTGCGTAAACCTGAACAGGTCAACCCGGTCTTACTGTGAGACCGGGTTGACGCGTCACGCTTGTGCGTAATCATAGGAGCTTCCTGAGCTGGAGGATGTCAGATTCTGGGCTTCTCCTCAGACGGCTCCTGGATGCGTCGCCACATTGGAGACAGGAACAAGCGCTATTCAGCCAAAGTTTCATAATCAGGGAACATTTTCTAAGTGACAAATCTCTCTGAGAGACCGGGTTTGGAAAACTCTCGCTTCAGTGGGAGGAACCTTCCCGCATGCGCTCTGGTTCTGAGAGCCTGGATTTGTATTCTGAACAGTCTAAACATGTTTTTAAAAGAAACGTATGACAAAAGTGGCACCTGCTCAGTAAAACCACCAACAGGGTGAAAAATATCAAAATATTGTATAGGCAGAGACGGGCTACAACTTCTGGATCATCTTTATACAAATCGTTTTATGATTATCTTCTTATGAAAGATAACTTTGACGTACACGAGCGACCAGGCGCGTTGCAAGATTTTCAAAAGTGTGGGAGATGTTGTCTGTGCCTAAAATAATTTGATGTTATTCACCTTGTTAGTTTAATTTCCATAATAGCGGAGCAGGTGCGAATTTTAGACGCGTCACGCATGTCTCCGTTTTAAACATGTTTAAACTGTTCAGAATACAAATCCAGGCTCTGTCTCGTTAGATTGGTGTAACTAAAGTTTGTACTGAATGAAACTTTACATTAAACCATGTTGAAAAGAAAAGGATCCGATTAAATCGTTTCCCCTCATTTTACAGTCGGTACAGCGCAGTGCGCGTGGCTCTGGGGTTAATCAAGTTTAGTTGTTTCTCTTTGCAACAATCTTCACAAGAAGGCAAAACAGTTAAATGGCAGGTTACAGATATTTCCATTTGACTGTATTTTGATGGATAAACTCAAGGATGCTGGCTGTTTTGAAAGAATTACCCCGACGCACACTGATGCGCATGATGAGCTTGGAAAAATGTTCTTTTTGTGAAATTATGAAACTTTGGCTGAACAGCGCTTGTTCCCGTCTCTAATATGGAGACGCATGTCGCATCCAGTCTGAGGCAGAACAGCCTCTTCAGCTCAGAGAGCACACAAAGTTTATGTGGATCAAAAGCGGTCGGGCCATGGCAGGTGGAACGTTCCTAGCCTACATGAAGTGAAACTGTTTAATTGTAACATTAATATGTTACTGGACACGCTGGTCTGGTTGGTTATACCAGTGTTTGAAGTGGAAAACACACACACACACACACACACACACACACACACACACACACACACACACACACACACACACACACACACACACACACACACACACACACACACACACACCAATTAAAATAATGCTGATAGCGTGGACTAGAAGACAGGTGATGGTTTTATTTAAATGATGATCAGGCTGCTGTAAAATGTAATCTCCATCCACATCCAGACAGAATGATCCTCTATTCTATTTGCTCTGCTCTTCTCTGGGCTGATGTAGCTGACGGTGCGCGCGTGCCTAACGGCTGTGGTGCACATTTTACGCATTTGGAGAGATGGGCTGGATGCTTTGCTTTTACTGGAAGATGGTCCACTTAACGCACGGGTGTAGACTACATATTAATGACAAATGAATAAAAATTAAATTGGGAGTTTTTACTTCATATTTTAGAAATAAAAATGACGGGGGAACACATTTATGACATCATTTTAAACGAAATTTTCTAGCGCGACCTGCCTGCTTCACTAAGTCACTGCTTATTAAGGTCCGTCCAGAATTACCGTGGCCCACCCAAAAATGAAAACCTGGCGCCGCACCTGTTATAAACCTCTGCAAATTATTGTTCTTCACGTTATCAAACTCAGACTTTGTACAGCTAATGTCAAGATGTAAAATTATGAATTCAGTCGAGCTCTTCCGTCCCTCCCTCTCCTGCTCTCCTGGAAACCCGACATTGGCTGTCAGAAGCGGAGGTGAAGAAGGAGATGAGGCAAACAGAGTGAGTGCGACATAAAGAAACCAGACTGGTGTGGAGGTGAGCAAAACAGCTGGAAAAGTGTGGGTGTTGAATCCCCCACGGGTGCGACGCCCATGCGAGCGACCGGTACCTGTTGCTGTCACCTGGTTGTGAGCAGCGCTCTGCTGTCTGAGGGTAGGCCCCGCCCACAACGTCGCGGCTGCTGCGGTGTTTTCTTTACTGTGGGAAACGGGTAATAATGGCTCTTTGATGGGAACAGGTTGCCGACCCCTGGTATAAGATCTGAGCTGGTAAAACAAAAATCCTCATCAGCAGGCTTTTTTAAAGTGGGGGGGACACAGCTGCCAATCACAATTTTTGCCGGGGACATGTCCCCGGCGTCCCCGGTTAAAATGACGCCTATGCCTAGTGGTATGAGTGTCCACTCTGAGACTGGGAGATTGTGGGTTCAGAAAATGGGATCCAATGCCTCCCTGGTTGACACTCAGCTAAGTTAAACCGCCAAATGGTTCCTGAGCACGGCCACGGCTGCAGCTCGCTGCATCCCCAAGAGGTCGGTCAAATGCGGAGAACAAATTTTACACACTAGCGGGAGTTTGACTTTAACCATCACTGTCAAACAATTGAAAAAAATCAAACTAATTCTTCCTCCAAGGTCACACCAAGAATTAATGAATGTGATCTGCAAATATAAAACTACAAACGAGCAGTTGATTAACTCGTTCACTGCCAATGACGACTAAAGTCGTCATTTGCATTTTTTTACTGTTTGAGCATCGGAACGAGCCCCCGCACTGAGAGAAAAAACATCTCAGCCCTGAAGCCAATCTTCATCCGCATACGTCACAGATCACATGATCAGGAAGCAACACATCCATGTGTTTGGAGATCGTTTTGGGCCGTTCCTGTAAAAAAAAGTGAGGCGCGAACCGGAAAAGCGTCTGCCGATCACAATTCGACAACGGATTATGAAAGAACGGATAACGCTCGAAACACACGGATTCTTCCTGATGTAAGAGGTGAGTCTCCTCTTTGTTTTGGTTGTTTTGGCATCGACATCATGCTAGCGCGCAACGTTCTGTGACTCTTAGAAAAACAGTAAAAACTGTGAGAAACGCTGGCAGCGAAGGCCGTTAGCAATCAGGAAACAGCTGGCAGTGAATGAGTTAAAAAATATATATATAATGCATCTTACTTTAGCTGATATCAGCCATATTAAAGTGAAAGATAGCTTTTATCTGCTTTTACATATGAGCTCTTCAGATTTTTGGGAATTTCCTGGCAAGTGAAGAACGTGACCAAAACAACCATTGGTTTGTGACCTTGTCGGCATGGAAGCACACTTTTTCCCAAAACCAGCTTTTTAAAATCATTCTCAAAAGAACTTCACTATTTCTAGAAAACAAAGGAAATTACCCAAAACACCATAGTAGCTATGCTAAGCTTGTATGTGGTGCTGTAACACATGGTGGGGTGCATGCACATAAAGCTTGCATGATGGGTTTGCCAGACTTCCATGTCTGGACCAAGCCCCCACAATGCAGCTCAAAAATTGAGGCCAACCCGGAAGTACCAAAAAATGCAGTTCCACCATCATCCACTAGGGGCTGGTGTCAGAAGCGAGCAAATCCTCATTGACTTCCATGTTAAAAATACCAATTTCACAGCAGAAATAAACATGTTTACAGCCTGGTACCAAAACATGTTTTTGGTTTAAATGATCTAGTTTACATTCATGACAACTTTGAGGGGGTGAATTTTTTTCTCACTCTTCTGTTTAAGTGTATTAAAAGCCTAAAATTCTGTATAATTAATGAGCATCAGACCCACGTGACCACAGAGCTAGCTCCGTGGAAAGGCCTCAGTAGAGCCTCGGTCTGGCTTGGGAACTGTTCCGGGATTTTGAGTCTCTGTGTTTGTGTATTCTGTTTTGGATATTATTTGTGCAACTGTTGGACAAAATGACTTGCTGTGGCATCAGTTGCACTAATAGAGCGTCCAAGGAGTCTCCACTTAATTTTTTTCGGTAAGTAAAATTATATTTATGTATTTTAGGTTACTGCCGAGCTGAGCTTAGATTTTAACATGTACTGTTTAACCATGAAATTTAAATGTAATAGGGTAAAACCCAGTACATTTAACATAATGCTGCACTTTAGAAAATGGTTTGAAATATAACATGTTGGTGGAGCTGGGTTCTGACTATCGGCTTGTGGAGCTCTCCGGAGACCTCTGTTTTCCACCCGGTTCTCCCCTCCCCACAGCTTGGCGCATCTCTGTCTGATCGCGGCTTCTGTCTGCTGTGCGGGCTGCCGGCTTTCAGCAGGTTTCGGGAGACCTCTGTGTTCCACCCGGTTCTCCCCAGCGGCAAATCTGCGCATCTCAGATCGCAGCGGCGCTTGTCTGCTGTGCGGCTGCCGGCTTGTGGAGCTCTCTGAGATCTCTGTGTTCCACCCGGTTTTACCCAGCGGTCGGCCCGGCGTATCTCTGACTCAGAAGCTCTGGTGTTGTGCACAGTTAACTCCGGTTGTAGCTAGGTTGCTACCTCCATTAGCTTAGCTCCCACCTCTGCGTTAGCTTTGGGATAGCTTCAGGTTAGCTTGTAGCTAGTTCGACCGGGTGTTGTCAGTTGATCCCAGCCTTACAGCCCCACCCTCAGCTCCTCCTCTCTTCCCTTTTGTGGAATTGTCTGGGCTTGACAGAACCTGTGACACGGTCAAAATGGCGGTGGTGGCCACCTCCCATTTAGCCTCAAAAACGTGTTATTGGAGCCTATGGAAATGAATTGTCCAGTATATATGATGATGGTCTGGACGTACAAAAACAAAATGCAACCAGACAAGGAAGGCGAATACGAGTGCAAGAATCAAATGATTTGACGAAATGGAACTTCGATCCTGTCTCACATTAAACAACAAGATTACAAACGTGAAGAACTGGGAGAAGGGCCCATCTAAATACGTGGAAACAATGGATGCCTTTAAGACACAGTATCCAAAGAGGGACAAGGCTTTGATTATTGTCCTCAACACAAAGTTAATGAAAATTTTGGAAAGCAATTTACCTTAAGACATTTTATGCCTCTTAACAACAGTCTAACAATGTATAGCTAAAATTATATTCTGGAGATTTAAAAAAATTAAATTAATAAAGTGTTTTTTCTGCATTTGTCTAAAAACCTCCACCAACAACACATTTCAGACTGAAAGCAACTATTAGACCATCCGGCTGACAGTGTCTCCAAACCACCACAATTCCCTGGGTCCTCCATTAGTTACACAGTCACGTATTTATAACAGAACACCACTGGTGTGAGAGGTTCTCCGCTCTATAATATCAGAGGAGAAATAGCTGGCTGCTACCACTTCAACTTTAGGACAAACTACCAAAGTCCCAAAAGAAAAACACCATTTCAAGTCACGGACAACAAAAGATGATTGGACCTAGAAAATTGTGACTGGTGTTTAACACAATCTTGTTTTCTCTGGCAATGTGGGTTTGTGGTTCCGGACCAGTAAACACAGATCCAGGGAAGATTCCCAAGGGGAGAAGGGAGCTTTCCATGACCATGTTTGCTTTCAAAACTTAGCTTGTTTGCAGATTTGCTAAAGCAGCTTTAACACAAAGTATATAATGACTTTGGGAATGTCGAGAAATACAACTGACATCGTAATTTCAAACAATTAGTTAATTAAAGTGACAGTGTGTATTTTCCCTGACGATAGGGGGCAGTGCATACCTAAATAACTGCAAGAAAGCCTTATTTTTGTGTTCAAGTAAGACCTTACCAACGGACGGCTATTAGGGTAAAAAATCCCTGGGAGTGCAACCTCCAGCAAAATAACACGAACATCAGATTCCCTTTTATCACTGGAGATGAGTGAAGAGGTAAATGTGTAAAGCAACAAGGTTTATTAATGATGAAAGTTTTGTTACCATTTGCTACAAATCAGTAAATGCTTTATGTCCTCACGAGCCTCCATAGAAGATAACATGGCATCCAATATGGCATCGATGATTTTTACGATGGTATGTTATGAAACCGCTAATATTTTTCAACAACTGGGTATCTTTTAATTAATTTACAACATTTCAATGGATATTTACAGAAATGAATGATAAAAACTACACTTTGTCACTTTAAAGTCTGGATATACATAATATTCTCAGTTTTGATCAATTCTGTAATAATTTCAGAAAACCTACAATAAATAAAAACTAGTGCATTTTAAATCTTTTTTCAACAAATCACTTTACTGCAGGAAATAAATTATGGTTTAACAAGAGACAACCAAATATTTCTACAACATTCATGTCCATGATGATTGCATGCAAAATTCTTCCCACAAAAACTAAACAAATGCGTGTTTTTAAAACAACTGATTGTGTGTGTAGTTTATTTTTCAATTTCCTGATAATTTTTTATGCCAGAAACCCTTTTAATTTGGCATTTTAATGCACAAGAAAACGAATGAAATGCAAAATGATAAAGAAATGATGAGTTGTAACTTACTTGGCATTTCCAGACACAGCCTTCTTCCGGCGAAACATGTTGAGGAAGCTGTTGCTCCCGCACTGAGCCGCAGATTTCCCGTCGCCAACATGCATTCGCACCACATCGGATGTGGTAAAGGCGCTTCGGACGTTCCTCTCTGGTTTGGCGATGATAATGTACATCTTGGGTGTGAACATGCAGCCCAGTGCCACTGTTACACTCAAACTGACGGAGAAGGATGTGGTTATGATCTTGTAGTTGGAGCCAAAGTAAATCGGCACAAAAGCCAACCAGATGATGCAGGTGGTGTACATTGTGAAGGCAATATATTTAGCCTCATTAAAATTTGCAGGGACGTTCCTCGTCTTAAAGGCATAGTAGGTGCAGCTCATGATTAGCAGGCCATTGTAGCCAAGTGGCGCTACCATGCCTAAATTGCTGGTATTGCAGATTAGGTAGACCTCACGAATGCTTGGATAAGACTTGATCGGCTCAGGAGGCTCCAGAATGATTAGAACTATCTCCAGTGTTAGCTGCACGCTGATTAGCATGAAGGCAATAATCACCTGGGCCCAGGCGCTCATGAAACGTGGCTTCCTAGTGCAGATCTTTTTTTTGCTGCCAGCCAGAATACGGGCAATTCGGTTTGTTTTAGTCACCAGGGCAGAATAGCACATGGCAGACGAAAGGCCGACAAGGAGCCGCTGCAGATAGCAGGAAGCCACTGTGGGACGTGCAATTAGGGTGAAAGGACAGATGTAACCCAGGAATATGCCTGCCAAGATGATGTAACACAGTTCTCTGCTGGAGGATTTCACCACAGGTGTGTCGCGGTACTGGATGAACACAAAGGTGACAAAGGAGGTAATCAGAATGCCCACGCAGGAGAAAACGACTGCAACTATGGACTCCACGTCTGCCCAGTCAAGATACTTCAAAGGCAGGGGCTGGCAGCCTGGAGAGAGAAGAGGAAACAGTGTGTCAGTCTATAAAAATGATACATTTATATCATTCCTCATTCATCAAAATGCAAGAGTTGGTGTTAAATTATGAACGGAACTTGCAATGGTGATTCTAAAATGTCTCGAAATGTTCTCAAAGGTTCTCCATTTCCTCAGAGCTCAAGGGAGAGTCACCAAACATTTTAAAAAGCATCTTGCACAGCTGTTGCATGTTGTTTGCAACTATGCCTCACATGACCTAACAATGTATTTAGGTGTATCACAAAGTGTCACATGTACCGATTTGATTCAATTCCAACTGATAATTTGCTCTCTTTTCTCTGAAACTTGGGAATCTGGATTAACTCATGCCGCACCAGTTGCATACTTGTCATCCAGCAAGCAGGAAAATGTTCTAGAGCTTAACTGAAGAAATCTGACATCCCTCAACTTCCCCAGCTTAGCGCTCCATAAATCATATGCTTCTGCTAATAGCATTAAAGCGACTTCACCGAGGAACCTACTGCTGATCTGCATGCTAACGTCTGACTTGTCAAATCACAAGAAATCAGACATTTTAGCTAAACAAGCTTCCTACAAAGAGAATTTCAATCATACATTTTGATACGTGATTATTTTTAAAAATATAATGATATGTTTAAAGGTAAACAATATAATCCATGTGTGGATTATCAACTCTATCTTTCACTATGTTCCCTATGTCACAAGAGTGCAGAAGAAATTTCTTCCTTGACACATTGCTGAAGAGTGCTCCAAAGCCTCTCATGGCAGTAATAGGATTTTGCACCTGGGAAATGAAAGTTCCTCTAAACTTCATCAATCGCTGTCAAAACAACCACTTGGGTACAAAGAGCCAATGAGCAGAGAGGAGGGAAGTGAGCAGTATCACATTTGTGGGGCGGTTAAATGTGAGCTGGGGAGAAGAACTGGGCTGGAGTAAAGAAGGAGTGCAGTAAAGTTATGAATTCACACATTCATACCTTACTACTGGTGGGCTAAAGCCTAGTTCATGCTTCTGTGTCAGCTCCGCGAGGGAGAGACGCACACACATTGACAGAGATGTTTTGCTTTCGGACTTCTCCGTCACCTGGGGAGTGTTGCATAGCAATTCCCCTCCAGGACAACAGAGGGCGTAGTGCTTTTTAGGGATATCCTTTCATGTTTCCGGTCCAAGATAGTGTATTCACTATTGTGTTTATACTGCATTTTTGTATTTCAGATACTTTTTAACAAGGAGAAATTTGTCCCTCATTCTCCTCCACGTCTTCACGCACTCGCCACCTCTAAACCCACATTTCCCGTCATTTCCATAAAACGCTTGCTGCGTATGTTTTTACTCTTTCAGTCACGGGTGAATGAAACAATCACATTTTTAGAGTTTTTCCATAAGGTGTTCTTCAAGCTGATTTTTGTCTGCTGCCCGATATATTCGACTCTATATTTTTTGAGGGTGCAATGGCGGTGCTGTTGACAAATTTAAAGAGCAAGTCACCCCCAACCAGAGTCTTACTCCACTCCCACTTCATATTTGAAAAATGTAACAAATGCTGTTGCCTGACAAACCGAGGGCGGAGCCTCTAACATACAAACACACACACACACACACACACACACACACACACACACACACACACACACAGGCTCATGACATTGTGACATCATAATGTACCAGTTAACGACATAGTGTACCGCTTAGCCAATAGCGATTTAAATTCAAATGCAGTGCAAAGTTTTATTTAAATTTTAACTGAGATGCACTAAAGAGACAAATTATTGACTACATGTGTCTTCAGAACAGTCAGTTGCTCATTTATATCGTTTATCAGCAAAAAAATATTGATTTGGGGTGACTTGCTCTTTAAAGGGTGCGGCCATCACAAAGTTGCGTTTTCCATCTTGTTTGACGAAAGTTTAGAAAAGTGGGCTCGACTTTGTCCGTCCTTGCGTGCCTCTTAGAGAGCCCTCTCAAAGACGGATGATGGTGCTGCGTGTCTCCGCGCCAACAAAGAGGCAGAAGCATTAACTAGACATAAGAGCACAACTTGATTAAAAGATGTATGCAAATTTAATTCCTGGTTCGTCTCTCCTCTTTTTTCTTTCTTTGTGTCCTGTCTGGCTGTGAAGCAAACAGCATTGACGTCTGAATGCTGGTGACAAGCCTTACACATTTACTCTCAGGTGGCGCATCAAAGCATCACACCTGATACTAAAAACTTTATTGTCAGTGTTTTTGGATGCTTTTTAATTCCGACCAGACACGGAAGCGGAGGCGAAAGATAAAGGAAGAGACAAAAGTGGTTCGTCTCTCCTACCTGCCAGTTCTTCATCAGGCCACCATCCCAGCTCACAAGCCTTGCAGGTAAACTCATCCTGGACGATCTCGTTGTCCTTGCATGTCGTACAAATCCAGCAGCAGCTCACTTCACCCTTCCTGATCACCTGAGATGATTAACAAAGGTGGGTCACAAAAGACATCTCATAACAACACCGATCAAACCCCAACGAGAGGCTCAGAACAAAGTACCGAGCTTCAAGGGGATGTCAAAGTCAGAGATAGGTTTGTACCACTTTTTTTTTTTTTGCCTCAGAGTGTTTAGAAAACAAGGCCAACTACTTTTACGTTCTGCTCCCAGAGAAGCTGTTACCAGCACTGTGATAAGCAAAGCAGGGTGATAAGTGGGGCAGGAAACAAAGCAGATAGAAGGAGACGCGAGACCAGCCGGGAGAGAGGCTGCACCCTCCCTCAGGGCGGCTCAGCGTACAGCAACAGAAAGCTATCGGTCCCAGTCAGAGCAAATGAGGGCATTTTATGAAACCGGGCCCAGAACCAGTTGGACCAGTCATTGTGCCAACCGGGCCTTCTCCACATTCAAGTAGACGGAATGTCATGGAGCTAATAGGTGCACTTCATACAAAGTTAACCGAGATTATTTCATTTGACTTGTTTATGCTAAATAATTGGATTCCAATTAGGATTTTTTATTTATTTTCCTTACATTTTAGCTTTTTAGCTCCTATTCATGACATCCCATATATTTCCACCAATACTTCCTGTAATATATTCTGCAAAATTTCATCATAATCTGCAAATGGATTGATAAATTGTGACACCAAACGGCAGGAAGCCTTTCCACAGACTGTCTGGTTTGGCTCTGAAATCTTTAATTATAATGTCAGCATCCACCTGACCTTCATCAGAGTGTGGGAGTCCCGCTGTTTTTAAACTAGTGCCTCCCTCGGACATCACTCATAGTCACATACAGTAATTGGAGGCTTCCAGATGACATATGCTAATAGGTTTGATTTCTCTCCTTTTCATTTAATGTCTATGTCAGGCCAAAGTCTCAGCTTGTGTACATTTGTGCTGAAATCCCTGAAGAACAAGTGCTTGCTTGTACCAATAGGACACACTTTATGTGATTTTACATCAGCAGCTAATTTCTTTAAGACTTCTTGGAAACTTTTATTCAATTTTGTTTCAAATTTTAGATCAAACTGGATCTTTTGAGGTGGCTTTGAAGAGTTAAGAATCTCACAAAAGAATCCTGAAGAGTCTCAAAATAGTATTTTGTGATTTTTTTATTGCATTTTAATTTTAGACTAGTGTCACAAGTTAGCATCAACCCATTTCTGACCTTAGAGCGTCCAGATGAAGAGTTAGGATAAGTATTTTAAGGAGGAATTTTACTCATTTTTTTATACATTTGCAGTAGTTTCTAGTAGAAATGAACACCTTGTAAGTTGTAGTCTGGGTACAAAAGCTCCTGTGCAGCCAGAGGAGAAAGTAGCTTCAGACGACATCTTTCCTCTGATTGGCTAGCAGCAACACAACTCTACCACTGACTCAGTTTGCTCTGCAACGTTTATGTTTTATCTCCACAAATAACACAAGCCTGGAGGAGTTGAGCTCTGTGGTGGAGTTGCTAGTGCTAACTGTTAGCTACTACTAGTCGAGACGTTCTCTGCTGTTTCCTGGATGCTAAACCAACCTTCCCTGTCACGAGTCAAGATGGCTGAGTCCATGAATGTTAAGTGACACTGTGACTAGATCTGTCAGGATTTTCTAATCGTAGCGTATCACCGGAGATAGGTTAGGAGACTATTTTCATGTTCAGCCTGCATGAAAAACTCAGAGTGGCCGATCATTTTCATAAGAAAAAGAATTAAATCAAAAACCTGCCACATCCAGTTCTATACATGTCTACTGCCCCCTGGTGGACCTATGGCAGGTAAGGGCCTATTTCCAGTGGTCAATGGGCAATCAGGACAACCCTGGACAGGTTGCCAGTCCATCACAGGGCAACACAGAGACACACAGGACAAACAATCACGCACACACACACTCACACAAACTCACACACACTCACACCTAAGGACAATGTAGACAGACCAATTAACCTAACAGTCATGTTTTTGGACTGTGGGAGGAAGTCGGAGTACCCGGAGAGAACCCACACATGCACAGGGAGAACATGCAAACTCCATGCAGAAAGATCCCAGGCCGGGAAGTGAACCCAGGACCTTCTTGCTGCAAGGCAACGGCTCTAACCACTGCACAGCCCAATTATATATATATATGTATATATATATATATATATATATATATATATATATATACATATATATATATATATATATATGAATTATATTATGTATGTTTTTTTAATTATTTCATATTCCAGACTTTAAAGTGTTAAAGTAGACCCTTGCAAACAGGCTTTCTCTGGGCTCATGTTTTATTTGCTTGCTCACTGACGTCACTTATTTTGTTTGTTAATTCAATCTTTTTCTTTTTCTCATAGGCTTGTTTGCTAATTTCCCTGATTGCTGCTAGCTACTTTAGCTGCTCGCCTGCTCATTCTTTTGCAGATGTATTTGATTGCTCCTCACCTTCTTCTTTTGCATATTTAATTGTACATTCACTCATTAATTTGCCTCCGCGCTCTTTCATTCATTCATTTACAGAAAGTGGCTGTTTAGGCCTGGATAATCCTAACCTTTATCTGCCCTTTGGAGCAGGGGTCACTGCAGACCGAGCGAACCGTATCACTGCTGTTCATCCACAACTTGCTGTCGTCGATGCTCAAGATCCCCTCACTCCAGGACCCCACATTTAGGTAGTCAAAGCGATCATCACCCACGTCCTGTAGATTCATGATGTCATACCTGGATTAGTGGAGGGAGAAAAAGCAAAACTCTGTGATGCTGAATAGGAGGGAAGAGGGACGTGATTTATACAGATTAGATTGCCATAGCAACATTTTCTTCCTACTGAAATGTACTCATTCAGCTCAAAACCTTGTTAGTGTGACATCGAGAGTGTGTGCAATTGCACACTGTGTCCTGGCTTTTATACTGAACCAGGATGTGCTCCGCCTAACCTCCCGCTGACGGAGGAATGACACGGCTGTCCTTCCTGACTGTCATATGGTGTCTGTTGGACCAGAAAAGAGATGAAAGTGGCTGCCACAGTCAACCATTCACTAAATCTGTTCCAGTCCAAACTAATTACATCCCTTTGTGCTCAAGATGGGTGCACATGTGTGTGATTATGCATGCATGTTAATGAGTTGGAGATCTTGGGAGAAGAGAGAGGAACTTAAAACTGACTAAGCTCTAATTCCCTTCTACTCATCCTCTCACCTGCCCGGAGTGTCTCCATTTTCATCAAAATAAATTTCCTCCCCCGAGACTCCTCTGAAAGACGTCTTGAGCAGATAATCCAGCAGCTTGCTTCCATCAATAGGGTCCATGGCCTCACAGAGGCCCGTCTTTTCCAGACAAAGCTCCTTGTGCATGTCGTGGAGGCCGTGAGCCATGGCGTAGATGGCGTTGATGACGAAGCCCATCTTACTGTCCTGAACATAGTTCTCCTGCAGACTCTCCTGTCCTGTTGAATTAAATACGAGGTTGAAAACAGATGAAGAACTTCTAAATCTAAACTGACAAGGAAAATTTGGTATTTTATAAATTCCCACTGCGCACAGGCATAGGAATTGTTTTAAATGTGAACCAAACAAAGAGAATGGGGAAAATAAAACCCTCAGTTTCTGAAGGATTCAGAGGTTCAATAAAAAACAGATTAGACAACGGTGGCAGAGGCACTTCCTAAAGGCCCCGGCAAATCTCTATTTTATGAATATTATGAAGTTCAGGGGGAAATGTATTAATCTAATTTACATGGTGATGAAATCTAACCGTATCTTTTTGTTCCTCCTAGGACCAAATTATTTATGTGTGATATTTTTACATGCACATTCATTCAAAAAAGCCTCAATGTGACTCTTTTATGCAATTTTTTTTGAATTGTTGAATTTTTAATACACACAATCAAGCTCAGTGCTTCCCATCAGAGTTTGTCCAATGCTAAAATCACAGGCTGCAATTAAACCAGATATTATAGAAAGTTGTGGTTTTTTAAAGCATAGGTCAAACTCTTTATGTCTTGGAGGAATCACATGCAAAGAAAGTGCAGGTGACAACAGGGAAGAGAGAAAAATCCTAAAAAGTCAGCTTGAACGGTACTCACCACCATGGAGATCTTTGGGAAAACAAGACATTCAAAGAAAGCAGAAAAGCAGCCATGACTCCACTTCCTGGCTCTAATTCACCAATCGTCATACACAACATTATTTTCATTTTTGATCTTATTGAAACATGCTATTTATTTTTATGGTAATGTGATAGAGATTGAGATTGGTTGTGGTAAGAACAGAATTTACAGCGATCACCTTTTTGGAGCAAGTGGAGAGAATATTCAAAGGACGGGAAAATGGAGAAAAACAGATGGACATTGATGAGTTTTGGTTAAATTTGGTAAAATTTTAAGTCTGATTTCTCAGACAAAGACCCAGTAGCACCACACAGCAAACTAAGCAAACTAACCTCAGCTTCACACTGGAGGCAGTACTGAACAGCGGCGGAACGTCACTGCTTCAAATAGAACCCGTTATAGTCTATGGATCCATTCAAGCCAGACGCAGCAAAGGCATTTTCAGGCAATTTCATTTATATAGCACTTGTATAGCATTTATAAATCATAAAATTATAAGATATACAAGATTGGGTTCTGCAAGCCACTTCTGGGATATGAACATTTCTACAGTTAACATAGGGCTAGACAGGAAATCGCACATGGTTTCAGTTAAAACGTCTTGTAATTTTCAAAATAAAAGACTGTTAGAGCGATGCAATTTCATATCTATGTGTATGTCTATACGTGTGGCATCACGGCTTTGTTCACTACCAGTTTCTTTTGAGAACTGCAGTGATGTGTTTTTTATAACTTTAATCCTGGCAGTGGAGTGGAGCAACATTATATATGAGATCAAACAGCTACAGAAAACGTCATTTCCTTCTTCTTCTTTTTGGTTTAATGGCGGTTGGCATAAACAAACTGAGACCTTTGAAGTCTCGAGAGATTTTGTGATCTCGCGAATCTGGCATCAATAGCGGAAAAGCTACTCCATGGCCAAGACTCTCCTGGTGTGGATTGACCCGCAGCAAAGCGCACATATAAACCGTCCTGCTGCTGTTCCACGCCGCTGATGCCTCCGGGGTTAAGTCTGAGTTAACTGTCAGATTGTTGATTTGAAATTCCATGCTTTCGTTCTTTTTAAACACAGAAACAGTTTTGTTACCTGTTTTGTAGCTACAGTTTCGCCGACGGCTGCCGGCTTCTTCAGGCTGACGCTGATGGTGGCGCGTCACTTCCTTCTCCGTTTATCTGCGGGCAGCAGAGGACGTTGTCGCCCTCTACTGCCCGCTCTCCCCTCTCTGACGATGCAGTCCCATGCGTGGTCCAGCGTGCAAACTCCGTCGTCCCTGTTCATGGTCCCACATCCACGTCTCCTTATCTCGATTGCTTCCTTGATCCATCTTTTGTATTTTTGTTGTTCGGTGGTTATGATCCTTGTGTTGTCCCAGTCCATTACATGGTTTTCTCTTAAGCAATGTTCTGTTACGGCTGACTTTTTTATTGTACTTTCTGCTTCTTCTTTTGCTGCTCTTGTGTGTTTTCGATTTGCCTCTTTCTCGCACTCCTTTCTACGTTCTATTGTTCGTGTGTTGAGTTGGCGTCCGGTTTCTCCTATGTATGTTTTATTGCCGAGTTTGCATGGGATTTCGTAGATGACTCCACATTTTTGTCCAGCTGATATTTTGTCTTTTGGGTGTACTAGTCTGTTTCTAACTGTTGTGTATGGCTTTGTTGGTGTGTTTATGTTGTGTTTTTTCATTGTTGCTCTTATTTTTTCCGTTATGCCTCTGATGTATGGTAGCGTTATCACTGGTTTTGGTTCTTGTCTTTCTGGGTTTCTGGTTCTTTTTTTGGATCAAGGAAGCAATCGAGATAAGGAGACGTGGATGTGGGACCATGAACAGGGACGACGGAGATTACACGCTGGACCACGCATGGGACTGCATCGTCGGAGAGGGGAGAGCGGGCAGTAGAGGGCGACAACGTCCTCTGCTGCCCGCGGATAAACAGAGAAGAAAGTGACGCGCCACCATCAGCGTCAGCCTGAAGAAGCCAGCAGCCGTCGGCGAAACCGTAGCTACAAAACAGGTAAACAAAACTGTTTCTGTGTTTAAAAAGAACGAAAGCATGGAATTAGAACCATGACACAGCAAGAACACACCTAAGTTGATTTCAAAGTTGTCACCCACCAGAGCACACTTTTTTGTAGTTCTTCTTCTCGTGTGGATGGCCCGGGATGCGACACTGGAATCGATACTGCCAGAACTCTGCAAACCAGGGGTTCCTAGTGTTGGTGTCCAGACGCAGCTTTAGGTAATAGTCATCAAAGGTCTTAACCACCTCTGACTGCAGCTTCATAGTGATTCCTCCCTCCGCTTCCTGCTCATAACCTTCCACAACCTCGTAACGATCAGCCCAGCCATCACTGCGAAGAAAGAGGAGGAGGATTCTAAAACATTGCAGCAACACAGAGAGGCACTGATACACTCAGTGTGATGGATCTTTATTTTAATGATAACAAGTTTCTCAGTGAACTTGGTCTTTAAAGGTATGGTTGCTGAAAAATAATTATTTATTATTATTTCTGATAATAATCCAGTTTTTCATGCAGGCTGAACATGAAGAAAGTCTTCTACACCTATCTCCTGCGTTACCTTCTGATAGTCGGTGAAATGCTAGGATTTGAAAATCCTCACATATCCATGTCATACTGTGAATTTGCATTCATGGCCCCACCCATCTTGGCTAACGCCCGCACACAGGAAGGCTTTTTTATTCATTTTTCAGAGACGAGAGAGAGAGAGAGAGAGAGAGAGAGAGAGAGAGAGAGAGAGAGAGAGAGAGAGCGAGAGAGAGAGAGCGAAGAGTGTCATGGTGATAGTGACTTTGCAACATGACTGAACGTGTTCTGTTAGCCAGTCAGAAGCAAGGTGTGTGCATATATTTAACAATAATGAGCAATCCTGCAGTTTTCAGCCCGCCTCTGCACCAGCAAACTTCTGCATCTCAGAACAGGAGCATCATAGCTTTTTTAATGGCTCCTAAGGCACTGATTTACAGTAGAGAACACTGCAAATGTATTGAATAAATGAGTTAACCACACCTTTAATAATTCTGCACCAAATGATCCAGGTGATCTGCTGCATAGTGGATGTGTTTAGCATATGTGATCCTATCAACACCCTGGAGTTGTAGCAGTTTCTGTATGACAGAATGGCTAAAACTCCTCTTGATGAGTCTGATGGATCACTTCTAACTGATGCCCATATATATGCCCATTCCGCTGCAGCAACAGGAAATGAAAGCAAATGTTTACGGGGATTTCACACAGCAGTTCCATTAACAGTGGATCATTTTGCCCAGTAAATAAAAGTTTACCACGTTACTGGCTCATTTGTTTCTCCTGTTATAAAATACTAAAATGCAACTTCTTGGAAGGAATGTAGAGATACATTTTAATATGATGGACATTTCTCTAAGCAGCAGCAGCAACAAAAAAGGAATGCCAAACTAATTAACCTGAATCCCTTGCATCACACACCAGCCTTCTATATATTTTATATTTCTGCTGAGATTAGAGAGGGAGACCTGCTTGGTGTCTTATCTAAAGTCTACTGCAACAGTCTTGAATTTAAGAGAAAATAAATCTCTGTGGTACAGCCTCAACTGTAATTGTAGGCTTTACAAAATCCCCCTAGCTAGCTTGTTTGTTTGCTTGTGTAATCCCATGTGCCAGAACGTTGTCTACCCTACCAAGCTAATTTGGACATATATGGCCAGTGGGCTCAGTGAGAAATGGAAAACATCAGCAAAAGGGACGCTGAAAAGCAAATTAGCAGATGAACAACACAGCTTAAGGCTCACTTTTCCTTCCCGTCCAAGCCAGTGAGAAGTTTTTAGCTGGTTTAATCTGTGTGTGTTTTTCTAATGTGAACTTTTGGCTGCTGCTGCTGCCTTCAAACATCTGCACCTAAACCAATTAGGTCTGCGCACCACAGTTGTACTGGGTGATGGGTAAGAACAGCTGCATGTTTCTGTTAGCGCTGCTCAAAGTCTCTGACCTTTTTGCCCACAATTACTGCCAGTCAAGTAAAGAAAGGAGACATTTTGACTAATTTGTGAGAATGGATGGAAATGTAGGCTCTTTTTCAGGTAAAAAGCACACATGCACAATATACTGAGCAGCAGGAAATGGGCAAAATATGGAAATGATCCTGCAGATAACATCCAAGTCAGCCAGAACGTGTTACAGCTAACCTTTGGAGGTCATCTAATGTCTGACCTCCAAATCTTATCATCTCATTACAGATATCATGCCGGCAGGTGAGGGAGCCTCCATTAAATATAATGATAGATGGGGCGACGGTGGCACAGGAGTTAAGAGCCCGCCTCGCAATCGGAAGGTCGCAGGTTCGAGACCCGCTCAGTCTGTCGCTGTTGTTGTGTCCTTGGGCAAGACACTTAACCCACATTGCCTGCTGGTGGTGGTCGGAGGGACCGGTGGCGCCAGTGCTCGGCAGCCTCGCCTCTGTCAGTGCGCCCCAGGGCAGCTGTGGCTACATTGTAGCTCATCCCCACCAGTGTGTGAATGTGTGTGTGAATGGGTGAATGACTGATTGTGTTGTAAAGCGCCTTGGGGGGTTTCAGGACTCTAGAAGGCGCTATATCAAATACAGGCCATTTACCATTTAAATATAAACCATGCCTTATTGAGCCGAATCTCAGACATTAAAGCTATTAATTCAAAGAAAAAAATTTACAATTTTTTTTTCTGGGCCCTATAGGCTCATGCTGCTACACTTGTTTGTACCCCAATTAGGGGACACTCGGGCTCGAAGCATTAAAGTCAACAGTATGCTCTAACGCTGGGTTCACCAGAACAAAAGTTTACAATAGCAGATAAAAATAACGCACCAAGTGGGGGCCGGAAAAGTTTTGCATCAAAATGTATGCCCTATATATTAATAAATATTGTCACGCTGCACCTCTAACAAAACAGCAGAGCCTGGGCTTACAGACCATATAAACATTTTCACGTGCTCCAAATACAACTAAAGCTACAAGTAAATGAATCATAACAAATCGGTCTTCATGAAGAAAAGAAAGAAAGATAAAATTGAGTAACTTTATCCATATTAACTTTGTTACAGCAGGAGGAACAAGCGCACACAGCATTCATCTTGTAACCCTATGCAGAACGTCCCCTGAACTCTACACTACACCTCCATATATATATATATATATATATATATATATATATATATATATATATATATATATATATATATATATATAAAAGCAGTGCTCTGCTGCCACCTAGTGTTCAGTTCAGTACGTCACATTTACATTGTTCTATGTCCGTCAAAATTTCATCAATAACACATATACTAATATTTACATGTCCCAACAAACCCCACAATGGTAATGAGACTAAAGTAATGGAATAGACCTTCTGTTTACAGAAATATACTCATTAAAGTGTGGGGATGTCATCTGTGACTCACTGACATTATTTTTGTTTTAAAAAAATGCTTGGGCGCAAATTGTCTTGAACGATTAAAACGCGATTAATCAAGATTAATTAATTACAAAGCCTCTAATTAATTAGATATTTTTTAAAATCTAGTCCCACCTCTAGTTTTTCATATATTCGCACTAATAAAACCTATTTCAGAAGTTTGAATTCTGTTTCTGAAATTCTTGTTTGGTTTCCTTCAGTTCTGTTCCTTTGACTCTGACAGGAGACACCGTGTGTGATCGCTATCTCTGCTTCTTGTGTCAGCTTCATACGTCTCCTTCCTCTAAATGAGCCCATACATCACACAAGAAGTAGTTTCAGCAGGTCTGGAATATCAGCACGCAGGAGACGAGATCCCGATGAAGCAAGATTTATTACTTAACTCTGGAATCTAAAGACAGCATACAAGATGTGACATGATCAAGCGTAAACCTGGCAGTCCTGCAAGATGCATGGTGTAAATAGAGGATTTAACAAATAAGTGAAGGAAACCAGAGAGCATTTATTCTGGGAGAGGTGGTTGCTTAGTGAGAAGTAGCTATCTGTTTACTAAATACAGGTGGTACACAAGGAGCTGGAGATAATGATGAAGGACATCTAATAACAACAAATGAAGTAGTAAAACCACTCATTCAACAAATGAATCCAAGAACTAAAACATGATTTGGAATGAAGCGCATACTGAACTCAACAGTAAAATGACTTCAAATGTGGCAAATCATGCTAAAAGAAATGTTATATTTCATTTTAGATAACCAGAGAGGTTGGCTCTTATGTGGCTTTAGTGTTTAGAGCAGCCTGTCATGATGAGATCGCAGCGCGCACAGACTCCGAGATCTAGAGTTACACCCATTCTGGTAAAAATGTCAAATTAACAAATCACCAATGAGCATAATCTTATGAAAATTCTCATGCAATCAGTGAGCACTTAGAGTATATGCTGGGAATGAATCTCCACCTCAATAAAATCTGTCTGACTCCATTGCAACATTGAAATCAGGACTTAAAACTCACCTGTTTCAACTTGCATACCAACTCTTTCCAGAAAGTACACATTAATCCCATTTAATATTATACCACGTGGATTTTAATATTATGAATGTTCTTGCTTTTAAATTTAGTTTTATCTGTAAGGTGACCTTGGGTGTCCTTAAATTAAATGTATTCTTATTATTATTATTATTATTACTATTATTACTACGTGTAAATCACGCAGTGGCGCAGTGGTTAGAGCTGTTGCCTTGCAGCGAGAAGGTCCTGGGTTCGCTTCCCCGCATGGGATCGTTCTGCATGGAGTTTGCATGTTCTCCGTGTGCATGCGTGGGTTCTCTCCGGGTACTCCGGCTTCCTCCCACAGTCCAAAAACATGACTGTTAGGTTAATTGGTCTGTCTAAATTGTCCTTAGGTGTGAGTGTGTGTGCATGATTGTTTGTCCTGTGTGTCTCTGTGTTGCCCTGTGATGGACTGGCTCTCTGTCTAGGGAGTACCCCGCCTGTTTGCCCATTGGCCGCTGGAGATAGGCACCAGCCGATCTTGTTCTTTCTGTCACTACCCAAAGCTCATGACCATAGGTGAGGGTAGGAACGTAGATCGATCGGTAAATCGAGAGCTTCGCCTTCTGACTCCGCTCTCTCTTCACCATGATAGACCGGTACAACGCCTGCATCACTGCAGATGGAGCACCAATCCGCCTATCGATCTCACGCTCCAGTTTTCCCTCACTCGTGAACAAGACCCCGAGATACTTAAACTCCTCCACTTGGGGCAGGACCTCATCCCTGAAACGGAGAAAGCGTTCTACCCTTTTCTGATTCAAGACCATGGTCTCAGATTTAGAGGAGCTGATTCTCATCCCAGCTGCTTCACACTCGGCTGCGAACCGCTCCAGCGAAAGCTGAAGATCACG